ACAGAAACCCTTTCATGAACATCTTGAAAGGCTGCTATTTCTTGTTGAGTATTGAAGCTGCTTTGTGCACCATTCGTGCGGCACATAGTCAGCGAAGCTTTGACATGCTTCATAAGACAGAAAGAAAGAAAGGTTGTTTACAGGACCTCTCGATCTCGATAGATTCGGCTTCGACAGATTGGTTTATTTGGGACGTCTCCACACTTCGTGATGGTGGAAAGTCCAAAGTATGGAGCTGTCCTCCCTGCGAATAGGTGTTCAAAGGACTTCTCAATACTTTGTGATGCTGGAAAGCCCAAAGTATGAAGGCGTCCCAAGAAAACAAATCTTTTCAGAACCTCCCTGGGAATAGAGCTGCAGAGTAGGTTTTTCAGTTTTAGGGACCTCTCGATGGATTCGGCTTGCAAAGATGGGTGTGTTTTTGTGATGGTGGAAAAAGCCCACCGTATTGAGAGGTCCCTAACAAACCATGGCCTCCCTGGGAATACTGTTGGAGAGTTGGAAGACAGCGCGTCGCGATCCAAGGTCTTTCCCATACTGCCCTCTTTGATCGCTCAAGATGCTCCCGAACAACAGGTACCCCATATAAACATATATATATATATATATGCATATATACATATGTATGTATATACATGCACACACATCGACAGATTTTTTCCTTCTACATTGCTGAGCGAATCACCAGGCAGGGTTGTAGGCACAACATCGGCGAATAGATAGATCGATCGATACATAGATAGATAGGCACGGAACACATACATCCTTTGTTTATGCGACTTTATGTGATATGCATGCAAGGATGCGTGCGCACAAACCTACGGGCTTGTACGCAGTTATGCACTCCAAAAACTGGAGAGTGGGTCGTAAGTGGTAACTGATACCCATGCCGAACTGCATGGTCATTGGTTTTCCAAACAGCCCAAGACCTACTCGAAGATGTTGGACCCTCTACCCTCCTCAACCCAAGGGCTTCAACAGTAGATGATGGATGGCAAACCCGAAACCCTTTACAGTTTACTTTAAAGGGTGACACGGCCCGAATGGCTTCAGATGCGGTTGTACGTCATGTGGTGGTCTGCGTGTCAATATGCCTTCCGGGATTCCGCTAGTTTCTAATCCTCATACTACTTCTACATCTTTAAAAACGACATAATGCATGCAAGAATTTACAAGCCGAGACTTATGTGTATACATATATTTATATGTATGCATATACTGACATACACTCAAACATGCACACATACCCGTCCAAGCATCCATGAACTCTCGAGGAATTGACTTGTCCTGTTGCACATACGGAACTCAAGCCTAAGGCCGAGGGCATCTGAGGCCTAGAGACTTGCGGCCTCCAGGTCTCAAGATCAGGGGGGGGAGGCAGAGCGGGTGGAGGGCCAAAACACAAAGCGGGCCTCCCATGTCTTTTTTTACCGTACCGCTCCGCGAAGGCCGTGCCCCAGTCCTCGACCCCCAACACTTCTTTTGAAAGTCTACTGTACTATTGCTCGAAGTTTACTCGATGTCCCACACAAGTCTCAAGCCAGTTCAAAGTGGAAACGTGGTGACCTAAAGTGACAACCCCAAACATCGCAAAACCGTGTGCGTGAAAACAACAGGGGCCCTGTTTCGATTCTCACTCTCGCACAAGGCAGGCAAGGCCCCTGTTTATCAATATGCACCGAAGGGGGAGATTCGATGTTGAAGAGCTTAACCACTACAAGATACGACGACCACAAATGCACACGCCGCCAGATCGCAACATACTGTCTTTCTCTTAAGGGCCAGGCTGCTGCAGATAGCAACAATCACCAACTCTGATCCGAAACGCTCGCGGCATAGGGGACTACAGACAGAAAACATCATAAACCTTTGTGCAAGTTGGGCCCCGATTGGAAACACACGAGCCTTGCCGTATGTTGATCGTCGTTGATCGCTTTGCACGGGCAGGGTGGGGTTGTCGGGAGTGTGTCTACAATCTTCTTTTGTGGATGTGCTCATCACAGGTTAAGCTTTCGGTTAAACCGTTCCTGGAGGAGAAAAGCAGACCACCATGAGTAACTGTGCCACGCTTCTCCCCCGTGCCAACCCGATCTGACATGCCTCATGGGCACCCAACAGTGCCCAAACGGAGGATGTCTTGCGTGCTTGCGAGGGCTGTGGGCCCCCGAAGGAACTCTGGCCCGAAGGCCTCCCCCCCAAAGGTGCGCGTCTGTCCCTCTCCCCCTCCCTCTCTTCCCCGCTCGCTGCCGACCCTCAGGTCTTTGGCCCGCCCCACCACCCATCTCTCTCTCTCTCTCTCTCTCTCTCTCTCTCTCGCTCTGCCGCACATCTTCTGTCTGATTCCCCGATTATCTGTCCCCTTGAGGACGTTCGTTGCCAGGGTACCGCGCGCAAAACCCCAGCTTGTTGAGTTCCTCTGGGCCATGCAAGCACTCAGGAGAGGCGGGACAACCCTGGACTGAGATGCCCTGCCTTCTCGCTTCAAATTAGCACGTGCTGTGAGCACACACAATCCATCATGACTCTTGCAAGTGGGAACGTCGTGATGGAGTACATCTTAGACTCACACCTTCAAGCTCGCATGTCTGCTGCAGTTTTTGGCCTTTGGGTAAGAGATCACTCAGAGATGACCAGCTATGGGCATGATAAGACTTTGTACATCGAGCGCTCCGCACGGGTGAAACAAAAAAGCATTTGTACACTGCGAGACAGATGGTGGCCGAAGGCCTAAAGATCCACAAGCAAAAGCTGCTACTGAAAGCCGGATGCTTCAATGACGGCTAAGGTACCAACATGAAGTGCGAAATCAACGCTCGTCATGCAGCCTGTCCCGTGGCGGCACCAGCAAAGGTTGAAGGCACCGGGCTGCACATTTGCCATCACAGCGGCTGGCCAAATGAAGGTGCAACTGTCTGCAAATGTGCCGCAACGTATCGAAGGCAAAGAAACGAGTGACATGTCGGATGAATTGCACGGCATGTGGGCAACTGCATCAGTGCTGATTTTCAGCTGATCCCCATCCTGAAGATGCAGCCCTTTCACCGGTGCAGCATGGCATTCGCGCTGCTGCAAACAAGTAAAAGTCTGCTCAGCAAAAGGACCGTGAATGTCCAGTGTGCCAACATGGAATGCTAGGTGTGGGTGAAGGGCCAAATCGCATGGACTCGCGCACCAACAGACGCCGTAGTGCCCACCAAAGGCATGGAGGCTTCTCCAGCGAAACACGGAGGTACCGGAGGTGCTGCCGGAGGTGCCGGCGACCTGCAGGCCTCTTCCAAGGCCGTCACAGTCTGTTGCAAAAGTGGCCATGCCGGCAGTCATCGCGTCCTCATGCAACCAGGAGAGTCGGAGGGTGCAGTCCTCGCCGGAGAAACAGACATAACTTTTCCCGAGCTCCGGGCCTTGGAGCAACAAATCTCCAAGGAAGACAACGAAATCCGAGGCCCGCCGGCAGGAAGTGCCTGATGTGCTTGCAGCTATCCGACACCAGCAGAGTTGGTAATACCTTCCTGGTGCTTTTGTGGAATATGTGAAATTGAAAGTGGTCCCATCAGGGGAAGGATAGGAGATACCTTCTCCGCCAAGCGCATGCACCGCCTCGGCCTGGCCACAAGGTTTGCCTGCTTCCGCTGCCAGCAGTAAGTCTCCAGCGCTAAGCCCTAGACCTGCCACGCCCGAGAGCTGCAATGGGTGCCCGGCCACGGCAGAAAAGTTCTGACCACTGTATGGGCCCTGCAGCTGTAAGCTGCCAGTGGCTTGAGATGCGAACTCTTGACACACGATCGCAAAGGAATGCTTCTGTTCACGCGCATCATGCCAACCCCCATCGGGAACCCTCATGTAGACCAAGGGCTCGTTTGAGTGGTTAATCGCGGATGGCTGCCCAACAGCCCAGTTCATGTACTCCGCTTCATGGCCTGCCAGATCATCAAAAGATCCGTTCAAAAGCATCGAGCCATCGTCCCACATCCAGTGCCCGGAGCTGTACCATCGTGCCCCCAGCCACAAGCCCATGCCACAGGGGCTGACTTGCACTCCCTGTTCGCGAGCCTCGGTCACGGCTGCTTCCAAGTTTGCCTGGCTCTGTTGGCTTTTAGGCATCGGCAGCGGTGCAGGGGTGCAAGCAGCGCGAGCTTCATCCTCATTGCCACAGCCAAGGAATTGGTAGCCACGAGCTGCAAAGGCATTGTCGCCAAACCCCCTCCGGTGCATGCACAATGCGAAATCTCCACCACCTCGAGGCACTGGTTGCATACCGGCTGTGAAGTTGGCCGTCTCGAACTTCACGTTGTCGGCCGGGCTGTGTGGCGCGACTGTTGAAATCAGAAGGCCTCCAGACGGAAAGCCCGTTTCAGCTGCTGCCGCAAGAATGGTTTTCCATGGCCCGGTGCAATTGTGCGCATGCGGAACAATCGCAATGTGATCGACTTCCAACCCGTAGCCTTCCACATTTGGCAGAGTAAGGGGGTGGCCTGCCACAGCCAGAAAAGACTGAGAAGGTACCGGGCCAGCGACTTCCAGCTCACCCAAACGGACATAAAAATCTTGTGGGTACAGGCAACGATGACCTGCACTGCCCATACACCAGCAAAGCTGATAGATTCCAACTGGATTCATGACCGCTTCCTCACCCCAAGATACCGAGCGCCCGCCAAGCTGGGCTGGCAGGGACAAACCTCCTCTTGGCCACTGGTCCACAAGAATGCCCGGCGGAGTCACGTCAGCCTGGAACTCAGTGAATGTTGGCGGTTCTGGGCAGAAGTTCAAAACATGGACGACATCGCCATCGGCTAAGCCAAAGCCCTCCAAGTCAATGATGCTGCAGATTTGGCCCCGGATGCATCGGCGATAGTGGTTGCTCACTGGGGACACCAAGGAAAGCGGCCCAATCTCTGCTGCAAAATCGTCTGTCAAAGTGCAGCCGCTCGGTGACACATCTGGCCGACACCAGCACATGCGATACGTGCCGAGATGCGCCGTGGCAGGATGAGCAATCACATAGAAGCTGCCATCACTTGTCGCAACCGGCGACTCCGCAGTCAAGCCAGCAACTCCACGGATTGTCATGTCCCCCTTTGCCTGGTCTGTTTGGGGCATTCTGCACTCATCCAGGATCAAGATCAGATCACCTGGCTTCAAACCAACCCCTTGGATATTGTCCACAGCACAACGTTGATCGAGAGTGCATTTACGGGGCTGGCCGCTGAGCGGGCCTTGAACAATCATAACACCGATCTCGAAGCCGAAGTCGTAATTCTGTGCGCATTGTGTGCCTGCACCCCTGGGGGTGCAAAAGCACAACTTGTACTGGCCAGCGCTTGCTGTCACGCGTCCACAACCGAAATTCGATGAGACTCCTTCTATTTCGTCTGGCGTGACCGTGGCGCAGCTCAGATCTTCTGGTTTCTGGGACTTGAATGCCACAATGCCGGAGGTATGTCCGCCCTGAGGGAAACCTGCAAAGTTGCCAGCACAACTATCCATCACTGCCACGCGGTCCCAGGAATCTAGATCTCGACCCCGAATACCGGTGACATCACAGGCTTGCCCGCGAACACATGTGCGCCGCTGGTCCGGGTCAGGACCGGAAATGAATACAGCACTAATCTCCAATGGCACCGCCCCATCGCAGCCTCCAGAGCACCAACAGAGGACGTATCGTCCAACAGCTGCTTCCAGTATCCTGCCCTCTACAGGATTTCCCCATTTCAGACGCTGTCGCAAGCCAGACGTGTCTCCAGACCCGTCGTCCACGGCCAAGCCATCGGCGGCAGTGTTGGGAACACCTGCTGCGTTTACTGTGCCACTGCCACAGCGAGTGGGCGACAAAAGTCCCACGTCTGTTGACGCCAATCCAATCCCGCTGGGGATGCCAGCTTCACAAGCACTCCCGCGATAGCAACGTGCTGCTGCTCGGCCCCAGACTAGCTTGAGCAGAAGGGCATCCTCTTCCCCGTACCCCACTAGAGGCGTTGCCCCAATCTCAGGAGTGTAACCACCAACGGCCGAGCCTGCAGCATAAATGTGGCCGCCGGCTGCTTCAGCTGCCATTGCTCGAAGGATCTGATCCCCCGGACTGCGCAGTTGCTTCTGCCATCCAGAGAACCCTCCGTCAGAGGTAGATAACGTCATCATCCAAGCATCTGTACGCCCGAGATCAGTGGCACCAACAGGCACGTCGTCCCGTGAATCTGTCTCTGGCCAAAAGGTTCCGGAAGTACCTGAAATCAACAGATCGCTCGTTTGCTCTGTAAACCCTGGCAGAAACACGATTCCATAAATATACTCCTTGGCCGGAGTGCCTGGCATGGCTGTCCACACCCATACTAAGCTTTCTGTAAACTTCATAACGAAGCCATCATAGTCTCCAGGTTTCGGGTCTGGGATTTCGCCTCGAGGATCCCAATCGAAAAACAAATTGTCATCACTGTAGCCGGCTACGTAGATACTACCGTCTGGACCAGATGTGACTCCTGTTGCAACATCAACACCAGCAGACCCAACTTGTCGGCCACGCTCAAAATTTGCATATGGGCCGATGCTATAAATTGTGAGGATGACATCTTCCCGCTCAAAGGAAGCACTGGGAGCATACAGGTTAGAGTCTGTAGTGCCGAAGGCCAGCACACGCTCCCTGCCGTCCTCGGCGCTGCCAGTGTAGAGGTGCAGGCCATGCACAATATCGTTCCCCTCTCCGCCTACCAAGCCTGCCCACACGAACGTCAAGTCGAGCGTGAACTTGACTATAACTGAATCGAGTCCACCTTCCGGAGGAATTCCCAGCATCTGGTCTTCACGGATCGCGGCTGCGTACAGTCCGTCTGATGCCACGACGATCCCACCGATGAAGTCGTTCATGTTGCTGCCGAACTGGAAGGCATTGATGTACTCTCCATACTGGCTGAGTTTTATGATCCAGCAGTCTGTGCCACCGCTGGCTGCGGCCGCTGTGCCAGCCCCATCCTGCACAGTGTTCAAGGGAATGAGACTGGGAATGAGCACTGGCCAGGTGTGCAGATTAGCATGTCACAACAGCATGAACCCTTGATCGTGCGCTCCAGCGGCATGTCTGTGTTTCTTTCTACTTCTTCTAGACAGCCCCTGCCCATTGACGAGGCACAGTAATTGCCGACAGTCCTGCGCATACGGATCTGGAGCCAGCATATTGTCGGAGGTGCTGCCAGCCACAAACACCGAATGGTCCTGTCGATTAAGTGCCAACCCCGCGAGGATATTGTCTCCAAAGCTCCCGAGCTGTCTGGTCCACAAAATGCTTCCGTTGTACCCGACCTTGGTAACCCATGCATCTCGCAACCCGAAGTTTGTAAAATTCAACGGCTGCAAAGAAAGCTTCAGGTATCTACATGTGGCCCGCCACTGCTCATCGCCGCTGTCATGTCGCATCCAGCCACATTCCACATCGATGTAGTCAGAAGCAGACCTACCCTCGGTCCACGTCATTCCGCTGGCCTCTGCGATGCCTCTCGTCGTCTCTGGGTTGACGATAGTACCACTCGTAGTTCCGGCAAGGAGTGCATGGCCAAGTCCCTTCTCAGGTTCAGCGGAGTCTACCAAAACATGGGAGGCGGTATCGTTGCCTTCACCCCCAAACTGTACTGCCCAGGGTGCATGTGCAGGGCGTGGGCCATTTACCGTCAGTGTGCCCGCATCCGTAGTGAAGCGGTGTGGAACTTGAGAGTTACAGGGCTCACCAAACCCAAGTGTGCAAAAGCAAACGCGATAGTGACCGCCTTCCGCAGCGACGGTTTGATTGCCCCAAGTAACATTCGCCAGTGTTCCACCGGCACTGACGAAAGTGCCAACGCTGGCCCAATGCAAACCTCGGAGTGGGGTTCCACCGAAGCAGTTCCCCTCCTTGATGAGGAGCCTATCGTTTTCTGTCAGGCCCGCCCCTCTCAACCCAGATATTGAGCAAGGACGACTAGTATCACAAGACCAAGCTTGACCTCCAGCAGGTCCGCTGATGGCCAAACTACCGACGTCCACCGCAAAGTCACCAGGAAGCTCACACGCACGCGGTGAGTTGTCCAGCTGGTGGCCTGCACACCAACACATACGGTATTCACCGCCAGGTGCAGATAGAAGTGACTCCCCCCAGCGAAACGACGTGGCATTGGGCTCCAGCTTTTGCGAAATCCCTGCACCTTCGACCCCTGCCACAGCAGTGGGTGATGACAAACAGCTGTCTGCGATCCGCACTCGGTCCCCCATCTGTGATGCAGACGTCCCAGCAGCCCCCTGGAACAATGAGACAATCAACGGTGATGAGTCGGAGGCCATGCGGCGGTGATCTGCCACGGGCCCGAGAACCACAATACTTCCAATCTCACCACCAAAACTTGTCTGCCCAACGCCTTTCCAACAAAGTTTGTAGATGCCCCCGTTCGCTCTATTGGGTTCGGCCCAAGTCACGTCCCCATCTGTGCCGAACTGCGCACTGCCACCAAAACCAACTTCCTGGAAATCTGTGCGGTTCATGGCTGCTGGATCGGTGTCGCAGAACTGCTGGGCCGCAACGCTTCCGTCCGAGAAGTAGTGTCCACTGAGGTTCTGCAGGGTGCAAGGCAAGCCTGCAACACAAGTCCTGGTTTGGTCCCTCACAGGGCCGATCAGCCGCAAAGTGCCGGCAACTGTGTCGAAGTCTGCTGAGTTGTTGCAATCTGAGAAAGACGGACTGCACCAGCAAAGGCGGTAATCTGCACCAGATGCTGTGACAGGGGCCTCGCGCCAATAGAACCGCGTTCCTCTGGCATCGGCGGGGTCCGAAAACCCAAGATTTGGCATTCCCGGGATAGGTGTGGGTACATCGCCGCATGATTCATTAGAGTACATTACAAGGAGCATGTCGTTGTCGTTCAGTTGCTCTCCAAGCAGAGGAATTGCAACACACTCTTCCCCCGATAGGCACGTGAAGAAATTATCTGGATTTGGTCCGGTCAGACTCAGTACTCCAGCATCGACCAAGACATTGTTAGGTCCACATCCAGGCACCACGCCGGGAGTCGAATCGTTGAGGAACTGAGTGTCATTCCAGGGCCGGCACCAGCACAGTCGGTACGTCCGGGGCAGGTATCCTTGCAAAGACCAGCCCCAATCGAAGCCTGTTCCGAGATCATCCCATGCCGCTGCATAAGGCACTGAGGTATCACTGACGCTGCAAAGTGGCAGTGGCCTTAGGAGGTCCCCTCGTCGCAACCCCAGGCCCTGCAAGCCTGAGACTTCACAACTCTTGGCGACTTTGCACTGCCATGTCTGGCCGCCCTGTGGCCCATCCACGATGAGCCAGCCCAGCGTCGTTACAAATTCGGCGATCTGGCTTGGTCCTGAAGTCCCATCTGAACGTCTCCAACAGAGTGTATATGTGTCACCTCTCGCAGCAATGCTCCCAGGCCATGTGAATTGAGATTTGCCCTGGCTCATGAGTCCAACCGCCACACCTGAATTTGGGAAACCACTGGCACCCCGCATTTCCCGAAGCCGGTTCCAAGCTGAGCCGTCCATGCTGTAGGAAACCACGAACTCAGTGATCCACTCATCTGCATCCGCTCGTCCCCTTATCACAACGCCCGAGATAGATAATATCTTGCCAGCATCCAACTGGTACCACTCACCAAGCTCTGCCTGCTCCGCGACCCAAGCCGTTGCTGAGTCGAGCCGGCCGCATGAAAAGCACTCCGATGGTGACATACTTGGCCGTACCGAGGAAAAACTGCGTGCATCATCGCTGACGTCGACCATGGTGCTTGAGATGCATGATGCGCAGACTTGCACCACGAGGCCTGCTCGCAAGGAAATATTTCCATACCAATTTGTTGGATGTATGCGAATGTATCGGGCCGATACTGCAGTGAAGAACTCAGCCGTCTCGAAACTATCCGGGGTCGGACTCACCCTGAAGATGCGCCCATCACCCAGATCCTCGTCAAAAGCTCCACATGCCGAGTTTCTTGCAGTTATACGGTCCCCGATTGACAAGCCAACACCTGCAACATCCAGTACAGAACAAAGCCTTCCAGAAATGCAGTGTGCCGCTGGATATGGCGATGGACCGGCCAGCATAATGCTGCCAGCATCTACGCTCTGGTTGACCAGGTTTTCGTTTACAGCCCAACAAAGGCGATAGTTCCCGACTGACAAATGAAGCAAAGACGGCCATTGCACCTCAAGTCTTTCTGGAGATGCAGACAAAAGTTGGCCAAGAATTGCTTCGTCTGTCTCAGTACAATTCGTGTGCAGCAGTACGACTGGAGGGTCGGGTCCATATAATGTCATACCGATTCCATGAAGCCGTAAGTCACAGGCAGCTCCTTTGACGCACACTGTCTCCGCCTGCCCATCGGGACCAAAAGCTGCAATGGTGCCAGCGTCCACTAAGAATGCATCAGCTGTACAAGCCCGCCAGCTGCTACACCAGCAAATCCGATAGAGTCCAGCCGCAGGCAGGGGCTCCATTTCCCATACAATTTCTGCATCGTCAGCAGTGAGACTTGAGCTGCTGTCGGACACATTGTTGCTCGTCGCGTTGTCTAGATCCTTGAAACCCAGGCGAGCATACTGTGACGCGGAAACTGCGGGCAAGTGGCCACATGCATGCGCATCCTCAACTATTTGCAGCTGATCCTGGACCGTGAGATGCAATCCCTGTAAAGTCACCTCAAACTCAAGTCCGGAAAAAGGTGTTGCAGCTGTAAGAGATCGTGGTCCACCAACGCTAAACACACCTAGATCCCATGGCTTGCCAAAGCCAAACTTGTGACCACGAGAACACGGCTTCATCAAGCAAGCTGCCAGCTGCACACACACGCGGAAACTGCCAGGTGAGCTTATCTGGACTCCTGGCCAAACCCATTCTTCGGAAACATTGGATGTTGGTACAGTCACCCGAGCGTGGCCGCCTGATGTCTGGACATCATTTGGAACCGTCGTACTGTCGCAGTCGAAGTGCTCGGAGCGCAGGAATGCCGATGCAGAGACAGAGGCCGGAAGCCCAACCCCCCCAAAGGCAACCAAAGTGAACACAACACCTGCCTGCGCGACTCCTTCAGGAACAGCTGATGTTGGGCCGTAGATCTCCACAGTCCCCAAGTCGACCCAGGACTGCTCCCCCGTTTCAGGGAAAGCGCTGCAGGGTTGTGATGCCACGCCGCTGCACCAGCAAATGCGACAACGTGGAGGTCGTCTTGCAAGCAAATCGAAACGCTCGAAGGACTCCCCCATTCCGTGAGCAATGTATGTGGGCTTCAAAAGTGAAGGCTGCACAAAATCATCAACTGCTGCCGCCACGCAGCGCTGCTCTGTGTCCGGGACGACCTTGACCTGATCCGCACCAGTCAAGGCAGTGCCCCAAACCTCTAGCTGCGTCTGGATGCCTGCAAAGATTTCCAGCACCGTCCCGGAAAGTCCAAAGGCGATTTGCGCACCTTCCACTGTAAGCCCCGAAATTAAAGTATAAGCACCTGAACAGAACGGCCCCTCCAAGCTGGCTGCGCACCAGCAAACATCGTACCTCCCACTTGCCAGGATCGTGGTGTTTGCCCATTCTTCCTCAAGCCCATTCTCGAAGACGTGAGGATTTTCCAGGAAAGCTCCAGCTTCATCAAGGTAAGGCCTCTGCACAGCATCGTTGCACGGCAATTGGTCTGCTGGGAGGATCTTAACCCGGTCTTCAACATGCAGCATGAAGCCTTGAAGACGGAGTGTGAATGGCACGCCAGCCACGTATTCTGATGTTTGGGACAACCGCCTGCTGACCTCCTCGTCTGCCAGATCACCCAAACTAGTTGGCCCTCTGGACACAAGCAGGCCAGCATCTACAGCAAAGTCAGCTGCTGCAGTGCAGTCGCTGCCGTCTCCATCAGATGGGCACCAGCACACGCGAAACCTGCCTCCGACCTGAAGAGTTATGTTCCACGTCACCAATGATTCCGAGAACATGTCTGAACTGTTCAGGTCGCGTGTATCAGTCGGAGTGAGAGCGAGTGCACTGACAACACTTGCTGAAGTATCCTGGACCAGTTCCACGACATAGTGAGTGCTCCTGTTAGACTTGTCTGAGCCGCACAGAATGGCATTCTCGACCACTCGGATCTGATCTGTCAAGAGCATGCCGACTCCTCTGAGTGTCAAGCGGGATGCGATGCCAGCAGAAAGCGGTGGCTCCACTTCTAGAGAACGCAAGCCCCGGACAATCAAAGCTCCGGCCGAGATGGCAAGCTCGGAAACGACTCCATCTTGTCCCACTGGATGCCAACACAATGAAAAAATACCAGGTGGCATGCCCGGCTGGAGTCTTCCAAATGTATATGACCAGGATTCAGGGCCCTGCTGGCCGACTGAATCCCTTGCACCAACGAAAGCCGCATCCTCCATTCCTGATTCGCAGGATTCATTAAAGGCCCCGAGAACCGCCTGCACGGCCGTGCCTGGCATATATTCCCGAATAAGGGCGTCACATGGCCGAGTTGGTGAGCACACAGCTACAGCATCTGATTGAGTTGGGCCTACCAGCTCTAGGCTGCCGACATCCACAGGAAGCGCGTCAGCAAAAGCTTTCCAGCACACCTGCACGGAAATGTCGGCCACAGCATCGGGGAGGAAAATGCCGACGTCAAAAGTGGATACATTGCCGATCGCTGAAGTAGGAGCAAGCGCAACATGCCTGAATGCTGGCAGGTGGTTGTCGTCAGCACAGCTACCATTGCTCAGCACGAGTCGATTCTGCTGAACAAGCTCGGAACCAGTCACCGACAAGACACAGGTTAGGGCAAAGGTGCAGCGAAAATCGTTCTTGAATGGTCCCGAAAGCTTCAGAGTGCCAAGCAGCACATGATGCATGTCCAATGCAAGGCCATGGCCCCAGCAAATTGAGTATGCTAGTGCGCTTTCAGAAGGCTGGGAAATGCTGTATAGTGCTCGGCTGGCATTCTCCACACTTCTCGGCAAGAAGCGGGCAGCCTCGCGAGCATGCTGGAGCAGTACTTCCTGGCGCCCGTGCTGAACATTCGGAGCTAGGCCTCTTACGTCCAATGGCCGAAGTTCAGGCCACGCCACGGGAGCAGGCGGGGGCGAAAAGCCATGGCCCCCCTTGGCCACGGCTCGCAGGCATCCTACCAACCTGTTCGAGTACTGTCCACCCGATGCAGTAGCATGATAGTGGTAGAACGGCAGGTCATCCGCATGGCCACCACAACTATCAGTTGTGAAGTTGCTGTCGTTTGCCAATGGTGCAAAAAGCGGCACTCCGTCCATCATGAACCCTAGTAGCAGCTCGTGCGATTCGTTGACATAGGAAGCAGATGCAGCAGACGCCCAGGACAAGACACCAATGCAAGGTCCTCGGTCACTGTGCCAAAAGCCTGGAGTTGTCGCATAATAAGCAGCTCCAGAGGCTGCCACAACCAGTCCACACTCATCCATGCCTTCATCAGGTGCCTCTGCACCCGAAATGGCCAGGCCATCTAGGGCTACGCCCACGGTTCCATTGGGAAGAGGCAAATAATGGTCTTCCTGCAAAAGCTGTGCCACTGCAGGCATGGAGTAGCTGCGAAGGAGGACTTTTGGCTGAACGATCCGAGGAGATGATGCCGTTCTGGGACACGTAGTGGCGATGATCCAACGAACGTCCCCGATGACTTGTGCATCGACGAAACTGTCATGACCGGAGGAGGCGCAGTTAGGAGCACCATGAAGGTTGAAGGGTGGCAGTTGTGGCCAGTCACAGGAGTCACCAGTGTGAATTACAATGGAATCCAACGAGGACAAACCGAGGCCCGAAACTTCAATGAGACAGTCTTGTCCCAAAGTGCATCCGACCTGACCCACGGCTTGTGGTGCCAGCAGGGTCAAAACACCCACCCACACCGGAAACTCGGATGCCGGAGCTGGATTGTCTGCACCTCCGCTCAAGCCATCACCGCTAGTGCGCGCCCAGCAGATGTCAAACCTGCCAGGGCCTGTTTCGTACTCCCCGAAAGAAAGCAGCAGCTTAAGTTGCTGAGATTGGCCAGATCGCTCACAACACTGCGCAGGATTTGTCAAGCCTTCCCGTTGCAGGCGTATAGCCGCCTGATCATCTGACACATTGCAGCCTGTGCCCTCTGGCAGCAGAAGCAGGCTGCTGCGGTGCGGCCAGGGTGCGGAATCCCTCTGCACGATCTTCCACTGTGCCAATGGGCTTCGGAAAAAATCCTTCGGGCGCAAGGTTCCGGCCTCTGCTGCAAGCATCTTGTGTGGGCATGGGCTACCGCTTGGGGATAGGAGCCAGTGATAGGAGCCCGCATCGTCAGACAACTGAATCCATTGCTTGGCAATGTTGCCGCCGCTGCCAGTCCACGGGCTGGCCACCACTGCGCAACTAACAGTGTCAAGATGTAGGACATAGTTGGGACACGCTTGCAATTTCCCAGACACATAGTAGTAAAAGTCCTTCTCCCCTGCCGGTATTCGCTCCCAAGTATGGGTAAGATCACCCCCATGCTGACCCCATACCGGCTCGCATCGGCTGCTCAGAAAGATTGAGAAGTTCGGAATGTATTGGCCGCTTCCCGTCACCAGCCAGTATTCTTTCCACATGGGGCTGGAAAATCCTTGTATGTTCGGTTGGCAAGGACTGCCGCTGTCACACACAAGTTCTTGACCACCATCTGGACCGGCAATGTACAAGGATCCGATTGGCGTGAATTCGCTACCGGGCTCGCCAGACCAACAAAGGACCAGCTGCAGCCCGGCTCGTCCCGACCTCACTGTACCCAGATCATATGTGCCTGCAGTTCCTTGCCGAGGTCGCAGTGGTGCACCGAAACCTGCCAGGCCAAGCAATCCGGGAATCATGGCTACATCACTGTCCTCGCCGGCTGATGCATTGAATGTGCAGTTGGACTCCGCTATCTGCAAGGTGTTTTCAGGATTCAATCCATAGCCACCCAGGGTGAGGTCGCAAGGATACCCCTTGACACAAACGCCAACTGCGGCTTCAGGTCCAACAAGGGAGAATCGCCCGAGCTCGACAGCAAATGGCAGTGCTGGAGATGGCCGCCAGCAGACCCGAAAGAATGGGCCGACGGCTCCTGCTGATGCGATGCCCAAAGGGTAAGCGGCGTCCTCAAGGGACACGTTTTGCGGAGATGCCGGGTTGTCGAAACCCTCGACAGATGCTGCATCACCCACATCTGCAACAGAACATGATCGCTCAAGCGCGGAAGCCTCCCAAGTCGCAACGACAGGTCTGTCACCGCCGATCAGCCAAACCCCGCTTGACTCTGGAATGTTGTACCCCTGGACAGACAGGGTGCAAGGGATACCAATGGTGCATACGAAACTCCGGTGCTGTTCGGGTCCTGCCACGTAAAAGAGACCCAGGTCAACCTGAAAGTCTGCCCAGTGCGACCAACTGAAAGCCCAGCACAACCGGCCAACAGGCCCAACGTTCCCGGCTGTTGCAGTTCCAGCAAAATAGTGATTCACACCTTGAGGTGTCGGGCGCTGTGGCCACTGCAAACCTGAATGGCTGAGCAAGGGCTCGGCGGACCCGCAAGATCTGGCAACATCCACGATCATGATGGCGTTGCTGCGGCTGAGTCCATGTCCGTCGAGCACTACATGACAAGGCATCCCCAACGTGCAGGCATGCTGCTGCGTGAGGTCTGGCCCAACGATGACCAAGTTGCCCAGTGTAGCCGAAAAGCCTCCATGGCTCGAGCATCTATCACCCTGAGCAACGCAGTAGCAGATCTTCCAAGTGCCAGGGCTTCCGGTGCGTTCCGATGCATTCGGCATCTCAAAAACATGCGGTGACTGCGCTGCGTCCAAAACCAATCCAGCCAGATCGCCGAGGTCTTGATCCAACTCCGTGAGGTTCTCTGAGCTAGCATCAGAACTCCCGCTCACATTGCCACAGCTCCAAGCAGATGGGAACAGCATGACCTGGTCTTGAACAGACAGGTCGTATCCCACGACTGGACCAATTGTGCAAGTGGATGCGTTGAGCATGCATGTGAAGTCCGTTGCTGGCAAAGGTCCGGCCATGTCAAGCATTCCCATGTCGATGCTGTATCTTGATGCAGGGCAGCCCTCATCTGTGTGTACGCAGTAACACAACTTCCACTTTCCAGCAGGAACATGCGGCAACTCGACCAGAACTGCGTGCTGACCGCTGTCAACTTCCAAGGTGGTCGCCCAAGGCCCCGCCCACTCTGCCCTCGAAGAAACCGAAGCTGTTCCAATTTGCCCCTGGCCCTGGCTGCAATATTCCGTTGATGGAATTGCCACGACGAGGTCTGCAGGGCTTAATGCGAAACCAGCCACTGGCCCGAAGGTGCAAGAGGATCCCACGAAGCAGTGTTGCTCCCTGCGTTCCATGAGACCGGAAAATTCCAGGGATCCTGCCTCAACAGAGAAGCCCGTACTTTTCTGCCAGCAAATTGTGGACAACCCCGGGCTGTCTTCGACTGGCACACCCAGCCTGTAAACGGTCCTTAGCTTCGGCAGAGAGCATGACATAAAGAGCAAGACCTATTGTCATGCAGCACGCACTCTGACTTGTTGATCGGGTTGCCCGTGAAACTCTATGGAGCCTCGAAAGTCTCATCCAGTGGTGTTGCAAAGGCTGCCCTGCCTTTGCCCTCGCATCGCAAGAGTTGCGGGAGCAGTCGGCATGCGAGCCAGCTATCGATAAAAGGACTGCATCAAATTTCTGACTTGAAACAGTATAAAGCAGTCATGGGCTCGAATGTGGTCGTGCTACTAGTACCATACTGGTAGCCTGGTAGCATCAGAACGGGAACTTCTTGTGCAGCTGTGACGCATGATCTTCTTCTAACAAGCATCGTGGCCAGTGTCCTAAAGTCCTAAAGGTCGCTTTCTCTAACTGCAATCCCAGCCTCTGATTGCTGTCCAGCGCTGCCGTTGCTGCGATGATAACCGTTTCTTGGTGCCGAGCAGTTGGTGGTGATAGGCGGGCCGGTGCCGCCAGGGGCCTCCAACTGTCCGATAAGCCTTCCAACATGAAAGCTACAGGATCCCTCTCTGGTGCATCGTTGGCCGTCACATAAGCGACAGCATCAACCTGGCGCGGACTTTGCAAAGTGACCTCAAAGCCCACCCCTCTGAAGTCTAGAAATTTCGTAGCCCTTCGGCCGTCCACTGCGAATCTTGCATCCTCTTCTTCAGGACCGTTGCCACCTGGCAAGCGCCGAGCCACAGCACCGGGCAAGTCTACTTGAGATCCTTGGAAATAAAACAGCAGCTCAGCGATCTGCACCGTATCGCCACTGCGTGCTCGCACAGGGATGAAGCGAAAGGCGGTGTAAAGGTGACTTTCGGTCGTCTCGCTGTGCTGTGGGTTTGTTAAACCCTTCATTGACACGGGGGCAGAAGTGGCTCCTTCACAAGCAACGCTGCCGGTGCGCAGCAAAATGCTGGACGACTCATAGCTTGGCACGCCTGTCAGAATCACGGAGCAACTGCTTCCCATCACACACCTGTGAGAAGATATCTCAGGCCCCCAAACTTCGATGAGCCCCAGAGACAAATCATAACTCTCGGCTGCAGAGCAGGCGTTTGGGTCGGAACCTGCACACCAGCACAAGGTGTATGTCCCGGGTTCCATCAGCATTAAGCTTGTCCATCTTCGTTCACTGCCATCACCAGAACTGGCTGCTTCAATGTCTCCCCTAAGTTGTTCGGCATTCTCAAGTGGAGCATTACCACAATCGGCCCCAGACATGTTGGAGAGCCTCACGGCGTCAAACTTAGACAATCCGACTCCGAGAAGCACCAGATCGAAGCTGTGCCCTGCTGGAACTTCCAGTGGCTCGAAGCCCAGTGGACCTCGAACAAGAATCCTGTCAAGTTCAAGGTTGTAGTCTTCATGAGATGAGCACTGGGAATTTCCGCTCCAGCACCAGCATGCAACGTACATCCCTGGTCTAGAGATCGCCAGACCTTTCCACAAAAGCGAAGTATTGGCGTCGTTTGTAGAGCCAGCCGTGCCTGAAACATTCAAATTGCCCGTGAAATACACGGTGGAAGGAGTATGTCCGCATGATGCCGGGGATTCGATAAACAGCAAACGGTCCTCCAATCGCAAACCACTGAAAGGAGCCGAGACTTCGACATCGAATTCGTGGGTGGCCACCGGCTCTAAACGTCCACCAAGGCCATTTGTCAACAGCCCAGCACCCAAGACTTCCAGCTCACCTACTGCCATCGATGCATTTCCACCGGCAAACCGGTAGCACAACAACCATGTGCCACCTGCAAGCTTGAGATCAAATGCAATGTGATCAGTAAGGACCGAGCTTCGTGCCAAGAGGGGCAACGTCTGGTTTGTTGTTTCATTCATGCCCAGTACCGTCAAGTCCACCGACTGCATGTCCACAATGATCGGGCCGTTTACCACCTCACTGATCCCTGAGATCATGCTCAAGTGCGCAGCGAGCTCATCGGCCAAAGTACCAGCATCCGCTGCAGCGATCAAGGAGCCTCTTACTTGAGATGTGGAACTTCTAGGCGTCTGTATTGCCACTGCCAATTGAAGCGATCCTTCCGATGCATGCACACGAACTTGCTCAATCGCCACCCCAGTTGTCTGCGCCACCTGGCGAGCCACAGTGGCCTTAACATCAGATAGCAGCTCAGGTGAAGCCACCAGCGCTGCATAATCAACGCTAGCAACTCGCATCATCAACTGCACTTCCTCCATCTGCTCATTTCCAATCATGTCACTGGAGTTTGCTGAATCATTCAGCTCGAAGGGTGATTCGTCAGAGTCGGCACCATCGCCGAATGAGTCGTCTGAGATGTTGTCAGAAGCGTTGACCTGCTGCAGGTTCTGCACTTGGAACATCCCCTTATCGTGCAAAACCGATCGACGGCTGAATCTCTAAGCCGCAAGGCTGGCACTCTCAAGACCAACGCTCAAAGCCTTTCTTGCTGCCGTTCGCTTTCGGCTTTCACGTACGGATGCAAACCTCGCGACCTCCACCTGCTGTCTTGGTTTTATCGCGCAGCTTCGAATTTCAGATTCCTCGGCCTTCGAAGACGTCTTGTGCGAGTTGTCTTGCAGAACTCTTGGAATGTTCCGTACCATGCACCTGACACCTTTGCTTTCTGGCCTTACAGCTGCGAGATCTTTTCACATACACTGATAGGCAACCTCATTCACCCCTATTTCGCTCGGCCGTTACTCAGTAGATTTCTAGACACGAAGACTTGGCTGAGTAGATGTTGCAGGAACATGTAAGACACAACGGGGGTAACAGTTGGCACCTGAAAACCTTTGATGGGTGACGGGGAAATATGGGGAAGCAGTGGTTTCATGCAAAGCCCCTCCTTGAGGAAGAACACGGCTCCAGATTGACAAAGGGAGTGAGGATGGGTGACCAATGACCAAGCAGACCAAGCACCAACGCACGCTTGGATTCGAGCCTTCTTTTGTGGACGGCCCTTACCAGAGGAGTGGCCGGCCAACCCTCACCGTGAAGGACAGAAGGTAGACGAGCCCAGGCCGTTCGAGGCAGAAAGCTTGGCGACTCATGACATACTGGTTTTCTGCATTTTCAATTGTACACCTCTGTTCCTGCAACTTCTGCCCATGTTCCGAAAGCTTTCTCAGTATGCTACGACTTCTGTGTGGTTGCATGCTGAAACTATCTGAAACTGCTGCTGCTCGGCTCCTGCCACTACTGCTACTACTGCTGCTACTGCTACTACTACTACCACTGCCACTGCCACACGACAACTACTACTGCTACTACTACTACTACTACTACTACTGCGACTCCAACTACTACTACTACTACGACGACGACGACTACTACTACTGCTACTCCTGCTCCTGCAGTACTAGTATAACTACCAGTACTGCTAGTACTGCTACTACTACTACTACTACTACTACTCCTACTACTACTACTACTACTACTACTACCACTACTACCACTACTACTTCTACTCCCGCTGCTGCTGCAGCACTGCTGCTACTACTGCTACTCCTACTGCTACTACTGCTACTACTGCTGCTACTACTACTGCTACTACTGCTACTACTGCTACTACTGCTGCCGCTGCTACTACTACTACTACTACTGCTCCTACAACTACTAGTACTACTACGACGATTACTACTACTACTACTACTAGTCCTCCTCCTCCTCCTACTAGTACTAGTACTGCTTCTTCGACTACTACTATCACTGCGACTGATACTGCCACTGCTACTGCTACTCCTACTACCACTACCACTACTGTCTGCCACGCTCACACAGCTGGGGTTGGAACGTGCCATGGCGGTGGCTACTCCCGAACCAATATTCCGCAAGCACCACGAGCACCAGGAGTAGGAATAGGATGAATAGGAGTAGGCGGAGCAGGAGCAATGGCAGTGGTGGTGGTGGTGGTGGTAGTAGTATAATGGCCGTAGTTGTAGCGGTAGCAGTAGCAGAGGTGGTAGTAGTGGTGGTGGTAGTAGTAAAAAAAATCGGGTGATGGAGTCACTCGGAAGCACAAGTACAGTAGGTGGAGCATTGCCGCAGCTTCAGCCAAGCATGGAACGTGGGCTAATCTGTGTCCCTGCCTGCATGAGACCGGTCAGCTTTCTCGAAACATTCTCGGTATCCGAGAGCTCGTCAGAGGTCATGTTCAAATCTTGACTATTGTGCTCACCTGGCTCATTCGAAGCGTTGCTGTCGCCGGTGTTGTTATCCTGCCACTGCAACGATGCTACGTACTTGCTGGCGGCGTCGGCAGTCAACCGTTGGAGCTTTACATCCGTGAAGTTCACTGAAATGAGTGACATGTTCATTCCAGCAGCTTCAAGCTCGAATTGCAATACCGCGAAGAAACTCGAATTCAAACTGTCATCCTCTAGGTTGTAGTCCATCACGAACCGCTCTATCACAATGGCAGCAGTCCAGGGTAGGACTGCTTGGTACTCTGCAAGCCAAGGTTCTTCTGAAAGCAACCGCCGACCCAACATATCTCCCACCGGTTGACTTTCACTGCCATGTAACAGTCTGGTGACGAACAACCTGTTCGGCTCGATCTGGAAATGCCCTGCCAGAGCGGCATGCAATGCTGATGGTATTGCCGCAGCTTCCGCTGCTGCCACTTCATGCTCCAAGACAAACTCCAGAGAACCGAACACGATGGCATACCAGACTGTTGCTGGTAACGTTGGCGCAATGGGCCCGACCACTTCAAAGGGTTCAGAACTGCAGCTTGAAGCGTTGCGAGAAACGGCGAGCATGTCTCCTCAGGGTGCAATTTTTCAATGCCGAGATCCACTATTTCACCTTATCTACGCATGCCCATGGCGGGTAAAGGCTGGGTGTATCGGCGGGTGCGACTCCAACTTCGGCTTTAACGAATTGACACATGCATAGTGTTGACAGCACCCGGCCTAAGGAGATGCCCAATGCGGTGATGTTGACCATGCAAGAAGGCCCTCCAGCAACACACACATCTGGAGTTTGTACAAAGCCGATGGGACCTCGAACAAGCAAGTCTCCAACATCTGTGTTGAATGCGAGCGGGTTCTGCGTACCTGTGGACACCATGCAGTTGTCGCTGCACAAACATAAGCGGTAAAGGCCAGGAGAAGGTCCCATGACACCCAGCTCAAACAAGGTTTGATTGGCATCTGCTGCTATGACGAAGGTTCCTGGAACAGGATTTGTGGCCTGTAACCTGGAATCTGGCGGCGCGCCACAAACATGATCTTCTGAAACAGCCATCAAGGTGGGATCACCCCCCACAAGTGATGGCAGAAGTCTGATGGAACAAGGCGCATCTGGTGCGCATTTTTTCAGTGCTCCACTCAGGGTTGGCTCCGCAGCGGCGAACGCGCAGGTAGCCAAGCAACAGCTTAAGGCAAACAGCGAAATGCAATTTGAGACCCGATGCCATCTGTGCCGATAACTTGCTGGCACCATGGCAAGAGACCCGCGGATACCAAGTCACATTGCTAGAATGCTGAATGCAACTCTCTGCTGCTTGGTTTGGTCCGCCGGTCGATTACACATGGAATGTTTAGGGTTTTCGTGGTTGACTATGCCACGGACATCTGATGTCGTGGCATGCTGGTCGGCTCAAAGCTCACTGATAGGAATGCATAATACCACCTCTTCCCACTGACTCGTAGCTTTCATTGATATAAACATTGGCTACATGTGCAAACTTGTATGCAGCTGTCTTGTGCACAACATTGATGTGGTCTAACACTGAGCCGTACTGCAGCATCCAAAAACTACCCAACAATGTACAAAAGCTACAAATACATGACAATAGAGCATGTATCGGGCCACTGCCCAAGGTAGACGAAGTTGTCATGTGAAACATGCATTCCCCGAGTTCAACAATCCGTTCGGGAGCGCACCACACAAAGCCCACAAAGCAACTGCAGGAGCTATTGAAGCTATTGTCAAACGACATGGACACGGAGTCGTACTAGCGCATCACCGTGTCATGATTTTATCATGGCGTATCGAGGAAGGCGAAGGACGGGGACGGGGCCTGCCCTTGGGTGAATGGCCTTGAATGCATCCTCTTGTTCGAACCTTCACACCCGTGTGACCTCGACCTTGCTTCGTGCGCGTCAAGCCCAGGCAGGTGGGGCGGGGCACGGGCCTCGACGGCGCTGCGTACGGCTCGGCCGTTAAACAAAGGCACGTCGACGCCATCATCCCTCAGCGATCATCACGCGGCATGCACTTCGTGCCCAGCTGCCGGTCTATTCCCGGACAGCTGCAACAAGCAGGCCGCCGCACACGCATGCTGCAAGGCCCGAGCCCGGGTTGCTTCCAATGTGTTCCTATATAACATCCTTCGAAGGTTTTAAAAGTACTCAAGGATACTCAAGGAGCGGGTTTCTGCTCAGAGTCCGCTGCGGCTTGATACTATTCCACAACGATTTTCCCAACATCCTCAACTATGTGTGTCACAAGTTACTTGCGGCGCCTGATGACACGCTTATATAGTCAGGGTCCAAGACTATTCCCCGAACCATTTGCCTGCTGCATGATGCTACATGTCTTTACATCCGAACCCCACCAATTTGAACCCCACCACCACCACCACCACCGCCACCAGCACCAGCACCAGCACAAACCCCGATTTTCAGCGGCGAGGAGCTGTGGCCATTCGCTCGCTGCGAGGACGGGAGGTCTATGTTTGATCCTTTTGCGGCTCGACAATGGCTCGGTACGATTCCTTCCCGTTTCCGTTCTGGCTCTCTTCTGTGTGTTTGGGTTTTCGGCTCTGGTTGTTCCGTTTCAGTTTCCGCTCGAATCATGAATCTGTCTGGTCCCCTCATCTTTCAGATCCAAATTGGTTTCAAATCGGTACCCACGTCCTGATTTCGACTTGTTTGCGGTAGGTTCCTGTGGCCGTTGGGCCTTGTTTGGGTGGTGCTGGTTTGGGTTCGGTTCTTGCTGTGGTCCAATTGTCGCTGTGCGGGGTTGAGCGTGGATCCCGCGGCATCGTCCATCCCCCGCATCACACTCCCTTCCGCCTCCCCGACAGGTCCCACTTCGGGGAAGCTTGCCAGGTGCCTGCAACGCCTAATTCTTGTGATTTGCTGTTCTGGTGCGAAGCAAGGCCTTCCTCGATCGTTCAACACGTTGCATTTCTTATCGATGTGATTCTGCGCTGAGCTTGATTAGGGTTGGGTCTCGGGTTGTCGGTTTGGGTCGGCGATGGTCGACGTCTCTCCCCTGTCGCTTGCATGCTCTGTTTATCTTTGTTTCGGACTGTTTCAGCTCCACTTCGGCTTCACATCTCCTACGAGTGCCTTGGGACCCTCACGTGACTAACGAGGCCGTGGCTCAGCACACCTCCTAGAAGGACCTTGGAAGCCTCATGTGGCTTCGTAAGAGAAAGACAAATCGAAAAATGCTTAAAGTTGAAGCTGCTGCTCGATTCGCGTCGCCAGTGCTGTAGCCTGACTTGTCGGATCTCTCCGCAATGTCTACCGACCCGGGCCCAGTGGCCCTGGATGTTGGAAGGTGTTTTTCTGCCTGCTCTCCTCTACAGTCTGGTTATATGCTGAAAACGCCAATCATGCGAACCGGGAGCCATGCGCTTAAAACCAGTTTCAAAACGATTTTCATGTGGGTGTGGCGTCCGCCCGTCGCTAAGGGCCTAACATGCCGAAGCGCGGACTTCAAACCCTGCACTTTCGGTACCCTGGGTCCTGGGCGTTAGACCCAGTAGTGCCTGAGGGGATCCGAAATATCAATGGATATTCTTTGCTTTGTTGCTTGCCTTGGTTACGGAAGAACTTTGAGTGACATCCATTGATGATTGCTGTAATTATTCGCTGGCCGTGACTCACGGTCGTTTCCGGACACGTCTCGCCAAATCATGCAAGCACCCACCATTGCTGGAAGTCTTACGCGCCTACGTCTCGGTGTCAGCAGTCTCCGAGACAAAATTTCGAACAAGGGTAGGAGAAAGTAATCGACCCACATCAGTCGGCTTCTCTATGTCGCAGGCGGGATTATGTGCTGAAGTGACGGAGCTGTCCCAAAATGAAAGCATGCAGCTTGTTTTGGCCAAGCCCCCGCTTTGTTGATGACTTCTGCAGCATGTCATTGGCGCGATCCACAAGCTGCTCGAACTCCATGTCTTAGAGAAATGCCCATTGACCTCTCAATCGCAGTGTGACTTGCTGTTGGCAATGGCAAATCTGACAACAGCTTTGGAACAGATTCTTGCCCAAGCATGGTTTGATCCATCCGGCCCTCGTTCAAGCGTGGGCGGACGACACGATTCCGCGAGCTCCCCGAACTCACCGACCTGCAGTGCGCCTGGCTGCTGGTCGTTTTCTGCACATCGCCCCGAGCTAACCAACCAAACCTTGCGGCCGTGCACGACGCAGCACTGTGCCAGAACACTGCCAGAACAAACTGTGCACAGAACCTAGGCAACCCATTCCCTCACGTCTGTTCCGAGTTGCCCGGACATGAATAGTGGTAGGATTCTCACTTGCGTGCATGTGGTGTGTCCTTGCTAGGTTCACGGCTTCTGTTCTCTTCTGGTTGCACGTCGAGTTTACTGTATTATTTTGTGTCGCTCAGGTTCGAAAAAATTATGTCTTGGATCCCTGCTCACGGCCTGGCTATACCCCCTCCTCTGCTCTAAGCATTTTGTATATGACAGCCCAAGGGAAAACAAACCGAACCCCCATATGAAACGAGGTCTGGACAAACACCAAAATCAAATATGTCGTAAATTATGAAAGAATACATCTGTCTTCAGGTGGCTATCCTGGATACTCCGAGTTGACTGGGTTGTGACCGCGGCCGTGCTTGTGGATCGGAAAAAAACCAAATGCTTCTCGCATGGTAGGAATATGTAGGAATCTAATAGATCTCAAGGACGCATAAAGTAGCTGACTTACAAAGGAAGCCAAGTCAAGTCAAACCTGAAAAGCCTCGCATCGCAGGATATAGCGGAAATTCTTTTCGACAATAAAGTAGCCACTTTCCAAAGGAGGCAGCCATAGAACCCTCGCATGGTAGATTTCTGCTCTGGACGCCCGAAGCAAGGTGCAGTCGATGAGTGCACTCACGGTTGGCCGTTAACACTTAACACACATTTACGCAGGTAAGCAGGCGTTGGAGGCAAACAGAGAGCGGATGCCCCAGAAGCAGGCCGCCACGTTTGGGCAAACCTAAGCCTCTGCATCCTATGCGAAACACGGCGTAGTCATGCAGATCCTGTGGCAATGAAACATGTGCCCTCCACGGGCACTCCTGAGCAAGGTGCTGTAACGTTTCAGCCCGCAGCGTCCCATGACTCAAGCAGAACAAGCAGCAGTTGTGCGGCGTCGCCGTTACCGAGATACACAGGTCTCCAGGACGTCACCCGTGCCCTCAAGTGAACAACCGCAATACAAGCAGCGGTAAGTCACCGTGACTGTGGCGTACGACATCTCAAACAACAAGATGGCTGGCTACGTTGGTACCTGCTCGCAAAAGTGCGTGAGGTTGAGGTGCGCAAAGCAGGAGTCGACCACATGTTGACACCCCACAGCAAGCTTTGTTGTATGTCTGCAGGTCTCGCGGCCATGAAGCGGTCGCTGTCAAGTCACTGCGCCCAAGCACCTGTAGCAGATCTGACTCTTGAGCCCACGTGCCAAGAACAAGCTTCGCTGTGTGGAAGAGCTGTGCCATGAGATTATGCCGATTTGTAAGGACCCTGTACAAAAGGCCTAGAAGGACCATGGAGTCCAGCCCAAACATTATAGGCAGGATGGAGCTTTGCGGTGCAATGACTCAGGTTTCAAGGCGGTTCAGCCGGGCGTCCGACAATGGAATGGCCGCAACAAGGAACCAAACGTATGGTTCAATGTACGGGCGCTACAACTTTCCAAGCACGCCGGAACCTCATTGGAGCGAGCCCATCCCATAAATATTCCTGTTTCCGAAACATTTTGGCTTCAAGATCCAACACGGAAGGGCCAACGTGCCGGTACCGATCGGTGCAAGGCAAATGTGGCCCATGCAGTTCAATAAGACAGCAGCTTTGTCGGCGCCAGCACATCTCACAGAAACGCATAACTTCCATCCGGGCATTTACTTCCACCCAGTTGCCAGGGGCATGTCATGGTATGTTTGAGCACACCAAATGCAACGGAATAAAATCCTGTCCAGAAGTTTCAGGCCACATGGCATGAGAGAGATGGGCCTGTGCAGCTCGATATGTTGCCATGGCTTCCCTAAGGAGCCCCATGGGGCGGGCAGGAGGTTCGGTCCTTGAACAATCGTTTACGGTCAGATCGGTACGAGGTTCAGCAATCCAACAAAGCAAGCCCACAAGCTTCCGATGTAAGCCTAAAATGAAGACACGAATGGGCAGAGTTGTACCAGTGTTGTACCAGCAGTTTTTCACGATTACATCTGTGCCTTTTGGGCGCTCTGTCTTGGATGGC